CACACTTCCGAGCCTCCAACTCGTTCATTTCACATGTGGCAAGGATCAAGATCCTCGGAAGTGAGGGTACAGTTTGTCTTCAAGGTTGACTGGAGAGCACTGCAAAGCACAGCAACAAGACAACAGACTCTCGGAAAACATCCCAGTTCAAGGCGTATATGGATCACGCCGGCCGATTTCTAGAGAGATTTTTTGCTTGACTCTGAATTTCATCTTCGAGTTCTTCATTCCGCTACTTGTGATGGCAACAGCTCTACACTACATAGTATGGATAGTTTACACACATCCGCCAGTAAGCTGAACCATTACAGACCGCCAAGACGTGTAGGATTGATACGCCTAGCAGGACAGATTCCGGCAACCCTGGGCAACCGATGCGTGGCGCTTTGTCCAGGCAATGTACCTTTGTAGCGCCCTGTCATGCTGCAGCTTACCGACCCAAACGCCCACCGGCCCCGCCGCTCACAAAATCCGACCTGATGCTGATGCTCGTATCGCTTCATTTGCGAAGTACAATATGAAGCGAAGGGATTGATATGAAGCGGCTGCGGTGCTGCATGGATATATGAGTACACATGCAGCCGTATCTACCGTAGCGGTTATTGGCACGATGCCAACGGGAAACTCGTCCGAAATTGCTTCTGAGTCGTGTAGAACAAAGGCTTTTTTGCAGGTTTTTGACCGTTTCACTTCGCTTTTTCGCCATTTTCCTCCACTATGTAGCACCCCTGGTACTATTTTATACCCTACCAAATTATGGTGCAGTATGCCCTTGAAAGTTCTTGAGTGAAGTCTTCGAACAATATTGCGAAACTTTCAGGAAAACTTTCGATCATCAATCAAGAATAGTAACCAAGAGAGCACTTACTACTCAACACTGCAATATCCCTTTTCATTGACTGAACTATGAGCTGCCTCTTGGCAAATGATTCTGCATCACGTCCTCGAGCTGCTCGGTACGCTGCCAGCTGGAATGAAAGAGGCAAAGCTGCAAACTTTAAAAAAAGTTGTTCAGTTCATCAATGAAACATCTTCGAGCAAAAGACTTCTGAGCATCCAAACTTATAGACGAGGCGAGACGACAAGCGAAACCTGGAACTCTGGTCACTGGCTAAAAATCTCGTCACTGGCCAAGCCGTTAATCAGTACTTTCTTGGGGTATGGCACTCATCCTACTTCACTCAGAATCTGATACCAGTTCCTATGCGAGTGAGGCGGAAAGTGTAGGAGTCTTGTAGTAGTGGCTTGTTGAATGTGATGTGGCCTATACGGTGACTCGCGGAAGGCCAGCCGATGTACAAGTCAGTGTTCTTATCCTCCCAGACGAATCTGGTACCAATTCACCGTCCCCGGAGGGTAGAAGGCTTGAATGGCTTAAGCGGAAGCCGATCCCGGATTCGATCCCCGGACCGTGCGACTGGTAAGCGCGTCACTTGCCAGCACACTTCCTCCTGCCTACCAGACAGGGCACGTCCTACATTGGGGAATCCAAAGCGGTGGGCCGTATTTGGTAGCTAGAAAGGAGGTCGTATCGAGTCTGAGAAAAGTTTTTTGATAGTTGATTCTTCCTTTTAGGCGCTATTCACATCGTTGGAAAAATTCCAATGGAGGGGGGAGGGGTACCGTATTCGCCTTCAAGAGAAATTTGATGCAATGCAGAATAATTTCCCCCGGTCATTGATTTGTTCACTTTTCGCGGTTTTATCCGTTTCTTTGGTGCTATATATTCTCCAATCGACGGCGAAGTTCTTGGAAAAAAGTGAAAATTTTTCAAGCGAACTTGCAAAATGTGGAAATGGAAAAGTTTGGAGAAAGGGGTCGCTTCTTCCAAAAATTTCCCCAGCGGCAGGACATGCCGTGCTATCAGAAGTCCCAATAAATAAGACTCGGCCCCCTTATTCGCCATTACTGATCGTGAGCTCTCCCTTGAAATAGTATACCATGGAAGCGGACAAGTTTCAAAACTACGATGACATGCAAATAATAAACCGTGCTCCGTGGAAGTAAGCAGTTATCAACAAAAATCCTTGAAGAATAAAAACAAAGCTTATGACCCTTAATATCCACATGGTTACCTTCTCTTTCATTATATTCAGATGTTCCTTACGTAGAGACTTCCTGTCATTTAGTCTGTCATTGATAAGTCCAATAAGCTCCACACGACGCTTCGGCCTGGAAGTTTTGGGGTTAACACAGTAGTTTATCACAGCATTTTATGACCTAAGAACCTAATTGAATAAGTTAGAGTTTGCCGTGCAAACTTCTGGGAGCTGTACCACTTCGCGCCGCAACAGGGGGTGACAAGGGCCTCCACCACAGACTCAACTCTGTTGCTTGGAGCTAATGACTGTTTTGAGCTACAAACAAACTAAGACTGCGTTCATACTTCCAGCGTCCACCAGCGTTCCGAGCGTCCAGCAGCGCCAGCGATTAGAAAAGTATAGATGTCGATCTAGCATCTGCAAGCTTCCACCAACGTCTGCCAGCTTCTACCAGCGACCAGCAGCTTCTGAGAGTGGGTTTTATGACAAGATAGGAGGGTGCAGACCAACTGGTACCCTCCTATCGCCCCCATATTCTCCATCAGCAATCTGCTGCCTTTCTACCACACTCTACCAGCTGTCAGCTATCCTCCTGTCTCCCCATACTGTACCAGCTGTCTGCACCCTCCTACCGCGCCACACTCTCCACTTCCAGGCGCTGCTGATCGCTGGTGGACACTGGCAGAAGCTGGTAGACGCTGGCAGACGCTAGATCGATATCTATACTTTCCTAGTCGCTGACGCTGCCGGACGCTCGGAACGCTGGTGGACGCTGCCGCAAAGTATGAAACACAGCCTAATGGACTTCTACATTTGCCGCCTCCCATCCCCCTATGAATTGGTGCGAACTGAACGGGAGAAATTTGTGATCATTTTAGAGGACAGGACTTCTTTAGGGTAAAGTGAAATCTGCGATAGTCTCCAAAGCGCAAACCCAAGCACTCACTTTATCATTGTGATGCTCCGTAGATATCTTCCAGCGAGCCGTTTCCTGTGGTACGTTTTGAACTGCAAACGATTGGTGATTACTGCAGAAATACATCTTACAAGCATTTGTTATCGCTCAGCCCACCACTCTCTGTATAATCAGAGCTGCTTTGTTTCGTTTCTCGTATTCGATTCTCTCGAGGATCGCTTCACTTTCGTCGTTCATAACCCTCGATGGTGCAACGTTCTCTTTTGCTAGGAACTCTTTCACATGTCGTGCTGGTAGTTGAAGAATGTGCTCATATTTCATAAGATCATAGGCCTGAAAAGGACCTGGCATCACGCGCTCGAGCACTGATAGCTGAAAGCGAAGGGGCAAGTGGTTTAGTAGCCTCCCGCACAATTCAGGCTAAGCAGAACAACTGCACCAGAGAAATCGCTCGTACCAATTACTTGTGACTTGTTTTCACTCAAAATCTTTCGCGAAGTTTCAAACCTTTCGCCTTCGAATGGCTTTCAACTGCTCGATAAGTTCCGTGTTATGCAAAGAAATGTCTTGCAGTCCTCTCCACTCCGTTCTGTAAAATCACCTCATTAGTCATAATTGGTTGCCCAACATTCTCTTTGGTCTACCTTGCACAATATTCATATTTTAAAGGTAGAGACAGTGGCAAGTTGCCTCTTGTCATTATCATATGCAGGAAGTGTATAATTTTGCTTAGATACATTTGGCATGGGTAAAGGAAGCGGGAGGAGGGAGGGGGAGGGCACGATCAAGGGTCTCTCGCGTATTCCACGACGTGAGAGTCGTATGTGCAGGCGACAACGATTTGAGCAGTGGCAGCATTGGTGAAACACTGACTTGCTTTTGTGCCTTGTCGTGAAGCATGGAGCATCTTCGTCGAGTTGAAAATCCATGTCAAATTAATTCACAGTAACTAAAACTACAGTACAGCAACAGAGTATGTTGCTAGAAATACGGTAGGGGACCCATTAGCCAGTTGGCAGGGTCGTTAGGTTCATATTAGGTCCGTATTTCCCAATCCATATGTGTCTACGTTGCTGCGCTTCTGAGCGGAAGGTGAGCGGAAGGCGTTCCCTACCGCTGAGCTCTTTTAAAAGAACTACTTCTGGGCTTGGAGGCGAGATGGTTTATCAGCAAAAGCAGCTAATCGTGCTAAAAGGGTAGATGTGGTGGTACCGAAACCTTCGTCTCTCTGAAGCGAGAGTCCTACTGGACGGCCGCTTTTCTAATCGTCCGCCGTACCCTGCAACCAACTTTCGACGGTCTAGGATTGAGCTGCCACAAGATTAGTTGGGGAGACAAATGGACTGTCGAATCGGACATGTGCAAAATATGGGGCGCATTCCAAGATTGTCCCTGATAACGATAGAGCGTGGATTAGGCGCAGGGGCCTTTTCAATAACTGATGCCACCCTGAGTCCGAAACAACTGGCAGGAAACGTTGCCCTGGCTGCGCTCTAACTCACGCCTTTGCGCTCGCAGGGATAATGACCAAATATAGTTGGTATCGTCGCAATCAGTAGGATCAATTTAAACAAGTTTGGTCTGACTCCACCTGCGGCGTTCCCACCACTGGTTGTTTACTTCCTAAATCGATCACTAGCAGATCGCTATTGGTAGAGTAAGGCAGCCGGAGGCGGGCTCCCCCGCCCTCCTCACCGAAGGAGTTTTGTGCGAGTATTATGCATGTCTGAACATTCTAAAAGGAGTACTAATCCTACATTCTTCTTGCTTTCTCAGCCAGGAGCTCTTTCGCTTTCAAATGCTTTCGCCACCAATATTGTATCCGTATCGCTGCTGATTCCTGAAACGGCTGAACACATGTATGAACATTTATAATGTGGGTGTTGCATTTTGATAACCTTCAATTCCATAGTGCAAAATGAAAATGAAATATGAATTTTCGAAAATTAAACCGGTTACCTCTCTTCTAGAAGAGCCCATTGGACTTCGGGGCTCACAGGAGGTGAGAAGAATGAGGACGTCGGAATCTGCACAGCAGTACTTTTGAATTGGTGAATACCTAGCGAATTTCAGGCAATTGAATCCTTCAAGAATCTATAGATAAAACTCAATCTTTGACTGGTCCTCACGTTTTTTGATGATTTTGAGGACTAGACTTAGAGGTCTCAGCAAGATAATTGAGCTCAATAATAGAAATTATCCCAGTTCTAAGTTCACAAAAACCATACAGGAGTCACGGCACATCGGCAAGAGAACTTAATATTTCTTTTAAAAAAGGTGAACTTTGGGATCGCAGTAGAGTAGCCAAAACTGGTCAACTCAGGATGACCCACAGCCACCTTGAAAGGTGGTTTCCATGGCAGCGATAGTCGCGCATTTCATCCGAGCGCCGCGGCTCCAGCCTAACTTCGTTATTCTGTAGTTATTGGTTGAGTGGACTTTCTCTCGAAAATCGGTTCTATTTCAGAGCAGTTTTTGAAAAAGAAAAATTTTATTAATTTCTCGAACACCTTTTGTAGCCTACATTACAAACAACTCGTACTAGACCTTAGAAAGCACAAATTAGCGTGCAAATGCGAAGACAAATCTTGAATGTAACTTCTATCAAGGATTCTGGAGTGCAAAAGGTAGAGGAGGGTCAAGCGCGTGAACTGACTTTCTTATAACCGCTTGGAAAGAGCTGTTAGATCCCATGGCAAGGACACCAGAAGATGGCGACGCGATGAACCAGCGAAATTCCTGGGTAGCGGGGTCAGCAACATGAGTGTCTGCGGTCATTATACTGGTGAAGGAAAAAAATAGAGGAAACTGTCGACCGTCGACAACGACCCAGATAAAGCCCTACTTATTCCGAGCGAGAGACAAAGAATCGATGTGGATATCCGATGAGAGTAAAGAGTGAGCGTGCAAACGAGCAAAACGGCAGGTAAGGCAGTATGTCCATGCCCCTTCAGCCAAAATACACCCACTGCAAGTGCCGCGCGGAGGACAGCAGTTTCACTCAGCTGTGGATCTATGACTGTTTAGTTCTTGTTGGAACGTTCAGTACGTTGTCACTGCATGCCTGCACAATGGGGAAGGGTCAAAACTCGGATCAGCCCCTAGTTAGGGTGACCCTTCGTTTCACCGGGGACGTTGGTAGCGATTCGTTTGGGGAGATAAGGGTATTGACTTGTACAACGAATAGCCTCGCGAGTCATTGTACAGACCGTAGCGCATACAGCAAGCCACTACGATTTAGAAAAGGAGTAAAATGCGCGCTACATCTCAAAACGGATCAAAGACACATGGTACGATCACACATAGTTTGGGTGTGCGTGACTATCAGCCCCAGCTGTCGAAGCGTAGCGGTTTCCCCGTCCTAACATGCGCAGGAATGGAGATACAGGAATGGAGGACCGTGAAACACGCTAATTCCTCCATGCTCCGCCCAACGCCTTTTGCGGCGCAGACTCCCGTTCATGCTAACATCCGTCGTAAGCGCGCGTGTCGCGTGCGGCTCCTTGGCACTTTGCCAAGTCCTGTAATTGCGCTTTGGAATACAAGTAAAACGCAATTTCCTGATGCGGATAACATTTTAGGTGCTGCAAAATAAGAACCGAAGATGATGACGAGGGCCAGAACTCAAGAGCAACTGTGCTGCTTCTGCAATATCCCTTGGAGGCCGCGCATTCCCACAGAACATGACAATAAAAACGGCTTCCGCTAGTTTTAATACAAGCAAAACGCAATTTCCTGATGCGAATAACATTTGAGGTGTTGCTCATGCTGCAAAGTCCGAATAGAAGGTGATGAAGATGACAAAGGCTAGAAATGAAGAACAACGAATGTAGATGTAAATAAAACAAAAATGAAAAATTCAAGGAAACGCAAATTAATTAAAATCGCGTGTAAATTTCTGCGATCCGGCGCGAATTCGGCTCCAAAGCCATAGAAATACTTTAAACTAACGAGTGGGACGCTTAGGCCGTTTTTATTTTCATGTTTTGTGGAATGCGCGGCCTCTGAGGGATATTGCAGAAGCAGCACAATTGCTCTTGAGCTGGCCCTCGTCATCATCTTCGGTTCTTATTTTGCAGCACCTAAAATGTTATCCGCATCAGGAAATTGCGTTTTACTTGTATTCCAAAGCGCAATTACAGGACTTGGCAAAGTGCCAAGAGAGCCGCACGCGACACGCGCGCTTACGACGGATGTTAGCATGAACGGGAGTCTGCGCCGCAAAAGGCATTGGGCGGAGCATGGAGGAATTAGCGTGTTTCACGGTCCTGTATCTCCATTCCTGCGCATGTTAGGACGGGGAAACCGCTACGCTTCGACAGCTGGGGGCTGATAGTCACACACACCCAAACTATGTGTGATCGTACCATGTGTCTTTAACCGGCGGCACTACTCCTTTTATCTTTAGACGGGAATGTCTCAGCTTTTCTACTCCTTGTACTTTGTGTGGAACAAAAGTGCGTTGGGTAATTCACATTGCACACTATGCAACCGATAATTTTGCCATCTTAACTGGAAAGTTGTTTCATTTTTCAGGGAACGTGACGTTATTGCGCAGACGGCCACAAGAAAATTTATATCCACCCATCACGGGGCTAATCATGGCATCTTACTAGTGTTCCGGCAACTCAGAAATGCCATCCATGCGAAATACAGGCCGGAAGGTCATTACTTACATCCATCCATTTCCTACACGTGAGGAACCACATAGTCTCGAGCAATTCCGAAGAGAAAACATCCTAGGGAGACATGGTTGCTTTGAATTGAACAGGCGAAAATTGGGCCCTGGCAGCTACAGTCCTCATCCCTCAAACGGAATAGGCGCGTATTTCGAACATGGCACAGAATGGGTTACTCATAGGATATCTCGATTTGTGATAACCGCTAACTTATTCCGTGTTAAACAGGACACGAGCACAACTGTGTCAAAATGAAAATATTCCTTCAGAAGGACAGCCACCACCACGTTTAGTTGAAGCACGCAGCCACGCCTACCCCATCTCAGGGATTTCGAGTATAAGTCAACGTGAGTCTGCACGAGGCTCTTGATGAAATAGAGCCTCCTAGGGGTAAAAATGACTTGTGAACAGTTGCCCATAGAGATACAAGCATCATCAAACTACTATTAGAGCGAGTTCTGAGACCTGTGGAGCACCACATGATTAGGCGGCGTTCAGACTTCGCGATGGCAGCGCTTCGGTCGCGCGTTCGACGCAATCGATGCGCATGCTCTCGTCTGCATCGACCGAGACTGAGCGCTGCCTTACTCTTCGCCGACTAGCCACGGAAAACACCGACGGATTGGGCAACACCATTGCCGTTACAATAAATAACGATTTTTTAACCCAACC